TGTGGGAGTAGGGGATGTGGGAAGGAAGGCTGTATCTTCATGTGGATCCCAAAAAGCTCTCATGTGAGCCTTGGTCTGCTCTCTCTGTGCCAGCAGCTGTAAAAAACCAGAAAATCAGAACCAGTCATCCTAGTTTTCTTTAAAATATGACCTCCCCAAACAATTCTATTATTGGTCTTTAAGAAGCCATTAGAAAATAAAAAATAATAAATTTCTCCCCCTAGTAAACATAGTTGCTGTCATAATTGCACACATAGGCCCCCACAAGTGCACACACACAGAAAGCGTAACTGGGCACCATTTAATTGATAACCATGCTCCCAGTTCCTTCCCCTCCTTTTGGGATAGCAATCGCCGTATGCAGCTGCTAAGACAATGAAAATGCTTTTCCAGCTGCAGCATCTGGCTCTTTGGCAGACTCATTTAGTAGTTGTGTTGGCAGCTTTGAATTTGCCTCTGGGTCTATCATATGTTTATAAAGGCAATGGACTGTCAACCTACACTCACGTGTGTGCCTGCGTGTCTGTTTGTCTGTGTTTCCCGTCGCTGTTTACTGCTGCTTTTTGCCTGTGTTTGTTCACAGAAAATAAACATTAAACACAGAGAAAAACGAAATTACCCCCTCATCTTTTAACTATGCATACAACTCTACTTCTTCAACTCTTGCCATTCTCCTTTCAATGCACATCCGTTTCATTTGCATCAAAGATAACTCTATAGACAAATTCCCTGTGTTTTACAAGAAAACTGCACCCTTATATGTGTGCATATACAAATCATTTCTTTGTGACTAAGACCCTTAATGCAGTGATATCATAATAAATGGAAGGGGACATTTTTCATGTTACAATAATAAATGAGGTGTTAAAGGAATATCCTGATACGTGAGCATTTTATAACTACTGCTTGTTGCTTGGTGGCAGCTGTAAAGCAGGGCTCACTGAATTAGCTATGATGTACTACTCCAGGGTGATGTTAATTATTCTACAGTGGTAAGCATTTTTTAAGTAGCTGCTTCACATTTTCAAATGTTTAGGTATAGCACACTTGCAAAGGCAGGGTTTAAACAACAATTAAGTATCCCACCTGAAGTAGATGTTTAATTGGAACATACTCTAAAATGCTGCAAGACAGGTGAGGTCCAGGGAAAGAACTGAAGTTTAGGATGATCTTGTTAACTTCATGTTTAAAAAAAGTAAACAGCAAAACTCATTTGTACAAGCACATTATACACAACTCATGTCTGCACACAAATACATACACTAATACATGGACAAGTAGGCTGATACTTCCCCATTGAAAAGATGTAAAGTAAAAAATATTCATTTCTCAGCTAAATTTCTCATTAAATAAAAATTGTTTTTTCCAAAATTGCAAGGGTGTAAAAGTGGTTAGACGCTTGTTGGTGTTGCAGTCAATAAAACTAACTGCAAATTATTTAAATGCACACACTGTAGCACAGGAGAGTTTAAAATGAGCACTGATGAATTTAACTTTCTTGTTTATTATCAGTATTCCAAAAAAACTCTTCAAAACCAGCCCCACAGAAAAATATACAAGGATTACTTTTAAAGCAATTTGTAGTAGAAAGTATTTTTCATAATTTCCTTTATTGATGCAAAATACACAGCCTCCTTGCTTCCATATTTCAAGGCACTTTTGCCCAGAGAAATTAAATGGGGGATGGGGAGAGTTTACAAGATGATAAATTAGGATTCATCAATTAGTATCTGAGAGTGGCCCCTTCCAGCAAATAATCACTAAAAATATGGATGTGGACTCAAATATCATATTTTTAAAGTGTCATTCCATATTATTTCAATTTGTTAATACTTTAAATCAAAACAAGGCTCTTTTTCCCTCCTCAGAATCACTTGCAATAATATTTATATGCTCATTTTGATTAAGTCTGTAAACATCCATAGACATCCTCGGGGATCATGCAGAAGTCCTGATGAAAGAAATTTTACATTTTAAAACTTGAGACCTTTTATGCAAATTATTTTGCCTTTGGCCATTTCAGGAAGAAATGAAGGAACTGGAGGATATTACAGTTTTACATAACACTGGTGAGATTGTTGTCATCTTTGATCGCACATCAATTAGTCAAGATCTTGAATGATCATAGGCGAAGAAACCTAAACTCTTCTCCCCAGCTGAACAAAAATGTGTCAAAGATTCTAACTGCATAAATTATTACATTCTATCCTACAGCAATAATAGGCTCTTTAGGTAGATTTTCTGGTCACCTGTATCCTGGGAACAGAATTTTATTATGTTGTGGTTTTGCATATAACAATCTACTTTATGTATATTTTATTCTATTCTCCTGACCAGTAACACCGATACCAGATTAATCTTAAAAGTGCAGCGCTGCACTGAAAGCGTGAGCCTTCTTTCAGCTCCTTCTGATGAATAAATGAGTTGAAAGATAAGGAAAAGTCTGAGTACACTGCCCACCAAAGAAGTTTGCAAATAAAACAAAGATAAAAACTTTGCAATAACCTTAGAGACATTTTGTTATTGTGTTATTCCTCATGTAAGCAGGATCTGTACTTTCTTCCACTGCCTCCTGCTTTTGAAGCAGTAAGACTAAAAGCTCCATTTACCTTTTCAGGAATATGACCTTTACTCTCTGGGCACAGAAGTGAAATTTCTGACCAGTGCTGAAGTGGCGATCCCAGTAAAGTTTTCCCTGTTCCCTACAGGTAGTATGGAAGGGAGCCAGAGCGACAGGGCCCCATCTGAGCCGTGCCCAGCTCCCCGGTCTGCACAAACCCACTCTATCAATCACGGCAGGATAATGCATAGTGGCTGCGCCTGTGACAAGGAATGATGGAGTGCTGAGCACAGGCCCGGCTTCGCCTGCCGCTTTGTGCATTTGTATTTCTCCAGGGCCACTTTGAGAATTTGCAGAACTTGGGGGGGGTGGGGGGCAGAGGGAAATTGTCATGCATTTTAAAAAAATATCTTAATTTGCTTTGATTATCAAACAGCAACGTGAGACACAGACACGGAAAGGAACTGCAGGATACTGTGATCCCAAATTCCATCGAGGCAAAATAACTATACAAGATGTAATTTGATTAAGGGGCAGCCAATTTAATCTGAGTACTGCATGCAAAAGATGCAAGTTTTTGCTGCCCATTTCTTCTCTGTTATACCCAAGAAAAAGCATCAGAATTTTACTTTGTCGTAACATCAGGACAGGGGAAAAGCCAGCACTGAGTACAGTCAGCATTCTCAGAGCCGTAAAACATTGAAAATGAAAAGACAGGTCATTGTATAACTTTCTTCAAAGGTATCCTTTGCACTGATAATTTTACAAAAGAGACACATGCTCATAATTATTCTTGATCAAAAAAGCTTTAAGTAAATGCTCTTAAAAGATTATTAAACTAACTCCTGACTTTAAAAATTCACATATGCAAGAAATGTTTTGTCTAAAGGAAATGCTCTCTGCAAAGGATGTGCTGTGTTTGATTTTATAAAAAATACGTAACATTTAGTAATATATGCTGGTCATATAAACGGAGGGGTTTTTAAAATCAAATTGAATATACACAACAGATATCTATTATAAAGCTGTGGAAAAGTGTTAATTAGCACAGTTAAAAACAAATTAAACAAGAGACATCATAAAGACACCCATGCAAATTTCAAGTGAAAATCCTGTCAAGCCTCCAAAATAATAGGAACGTTTTAATCCCTCTGAAAACAGACAGACAAAGATGAAATCCATTTTCCTTTTGTGACAGTTCATTTTTTTTAAGTCTCAATATTGTTACACGTACAGGATGAAAAACTGTATTAAGAAGGGGGTACTGGAGAATACAATCTTTTATTCTCTTAATATGCTTTTGACAGCCAAGATAAAACGCTCAAACAAATCCCTTTCAGAACAAGTTTTTGGAAGGAAAAAATACGTTTTGCTTCTAAGAAGCCCCGTGGTTTTAGGAGCCGGCTACACGAGCAGCGATGCCCTTTCCTTCAGCTGGGCTTTCTCACGGCCAGACTGAGCCACGGTCACCTCGAGAGCAGCTTTTTTGTGGGTTTGAAAGCCCCAGAGCGGCCGGCGGGCAGGCGCTTTGCTGTCGGTGCCGGCCGGAGCACGGTGCGACGGGCTGCCCGTACTGAAGGACAAAACTTGGGGCGAGAAGCCCGAGCCGGGTGAGCAGCGCCAGACCCTCGCTGCCGGGTTTGCTGAGGGATGCCCGGCTGGCGCAGCTGCTTTCAGCTGAACCCTGGAAGTAAACACGGGAAAGCAGGCAGATCAGAGCGCTCAGGGTTTGGGGAGAGCTGCCTGCTCCCCTTCTCTCCCTCCCTCCGCCCGGCCTCTCCTTCCCAGCGGGAGGGGTGCTGCGGCCNGGGCCGGCGGGGCCGGGCAGGCCCGAGCAGCCCCGGGAGCGTCCCCTCGGCACGGCCCCTCCCAGAGCGGGGAAAAACATCGCCGAGCGTGAGGAGAAGCAGCGCCGCTCCCCCGCCCCCGCGGGGAGGCTGTAAAGGGAACAGCAGCCCTCGCCGCTAGTCCGAGCCCCCCACCTAAACCTGGGGGGAGGGAGGAGAGCGGCAACAAAAAGAAGCCGGGCTTCCCAAGTAGCCCTTCTTAGAGGGGAGGGAGAGAGAGCAAGAGAGAGAGGCAAACATCTGGGGATTGGACCATATGCTAAAGCTTTGTCTTGTCCTTCAAAGTTAGGCTGCCCTTGAAGTGATTTGTCAGGCGGCCTAACTGTGACAGGGAGAATATGTAGCGGTGGAGAGAGGGATGGAGGTGGTGGGGGGAGGCAGGCCCAGAGGCAGGGGAGAGGGGAGAGAGGGAACGAGGTACGGACAGAGAAACAGAAAAGGGGAAAGGGGAGGCAGCAAGTAGCAGGAAAGAAAGAACAAAATAGCTTCTCTCTCCATCAGATGACGACTTTCAGGTGAAAGACACAGGAGGGTGGAAAGAGAGGAGAAAAAGGGGGAAAACAGCAGAAGAGGAAGAAGGGGAAAACAAAGCCTGGCAGGGAGAGCAGGAGAGGAGAGGGTGAAACAGGAGAGCAGAGCTGCTGTGGGAAGGGAAGGAGTGAGAAGCAGTGGCTGCCGATGCTCTTTCTGCTGCCACCTCTTTTTTCCCTCTTCCCTTTCGCCCGCCAAGTGCTGAACTGATTAGAGTGTAATTAAGGCCATAAAACCCTCGGCTTATCCACCTGTTTATTCACTAAAGTCGCGGGCTCATCAGGCAAATTAGCTGCTTCCAGGCTGCACGTTGGGCCTAGAGCTGGCCTGATTAATGAAGTTTATTGGGAGCTGTTAAAAGCATTAACTGAAGGAAATCTCGGCAATTCGTCATATTTAAGGGATGGAAATTAAATCTCCCCATGCAAATGAGGGGAGACTCGGAAGCGGCTTCTTTTGGAGGTGACGGGGGTGGGGACACACGAGGGGCTCCCCCCAGGCACAGCCCCCTGGCAGCGGCTCTGCACCCACCCATAACGAGTTGGCCTGGTCTCAGCACAAGGGGCTTAACAATAAAGGGGAGACAGATTTTAAGATCCAAGAGCTCTCGGTCCTTGGAGCCGCAAATGCATGAATCAGACCCGGAATGAGGTAGTATAATCCTTCTGATCTCTTTTTATGCTGAGGGCATCTCTCTAGGTGCCCGGGGCATCGCTGGTGTGGCTCATCCACACAGGGGCTTGTAAGGCAGCTTCCATGTCAGGTGGTTGTGCCCCCCTTGGTCAGACAAGCCATCTCCAATTTGTTCCTACTTTAAATGTTTTGCGCTCTTCTTAGCTGTTAGTCACGTTATATGGCTTCAACACAAGTACAAAGGTCCACATAAAATTTGAAATGCAAAATGCTTTTTTTAAGCACTATTCATGACAAACCTTAAAACTGCAACAGTAGATGCTCTAGCTGGCAAACACCTAAGAGATATATTAAGGAGAGATGGTCTAAGCTGCAGGGAATCCTATCAAGAGCTGAATATTCACCAGTTTTGAAAGTGTTTTCTTCTGGCATGTCAATCTGATTTTATTTCTGACATGAATGGCATTTATCATACCCGAAGCTTCATGAGCCACAGCATTTTTATATTAACAATTTATAATAAAAGAGAAATTACAAAGGGTCACAACAAGGAGTGAATGTCCTGAGGAAGGGATAATGAGAAGGAAAGAAGGTCAAAGAAAACATCTTGGCCTCACTATTTTATTGAGTGTTCAGTTCACAATGGTATTATGTTTAAAATTTATTTATTTTGAATATTTTCATATGAAATGAAGAAATCACTGTCATCTTATGTAAAAGATATTCGTATCCAAATATTGAATCGTGAATGTGATAGGGAGGGAGAAGAGAGAAAATTCATGTTTGATGTAATTCTAATTCTATATGCTTCTCTGTCTAATTATTACAAAGCTAATTATTTGTTACAATTATTGGATTAACACTTTGCTAATCAGTTTTCTTCTCCTTTGTAGAGCAGCACCGGAGCAGTGAAATGCAAGGTGAGAATGTTGTCTGGGTTTTCAACAGAAAATTAGAGTGCCATTTTCCTTATGTGCAGATTAGTTCAGCTGCTTTGTGATTTATGACCAGTACACCATATTCGGTATCACATCCTACTATGTAGCATCTTTGTTCCTACAGCGATAATTTCCTAATTTTTTGGATGTGGAGACTATTTGCCAGTGGCAAAATGTCCTTCTCCCATCTCCCATCAGGAAGGTTTCACTCATCAGACCACCCTGTGGGGCAGGTGGAACCACCAGTCTCCTCCAAACAACAGAAACATGGACTGGTACCAGGGCAGAGCCCTGCACACACACACAATTTTGAATGCACTTCAGGCACAATAATGCATTTTCTAAAGACACATGGTGCCCTTAAAACACACAACTCAGCTGTTATCAACAGCAAAGAACTGAATCAGCTGCTACCGAACATACAAACGAAACCAACCCAAAACTTCCTGGCAACATGTGGAGCTGTACTATTTTTTTATAAAAAGAGTCAATAGAGAATGTTTCTAATGCTGCATGCAGCACAACACAGAAGGTCTCCTATTGATATTTCTGGTTAAAAGACAGAAAAATGTTTAAATGAAAAAGCACTTCATTGTTATTCACTGCAAGTTAACAAAGCATTTTCTAGACAATTAAATGACAGCAGTATTTTCTACTTATGTGTTTAATTGCAGAAATACAAAGGATAATTTTAATCAGTTGTGGCTACTTTTGGTGTTTTTTGTGGGGTTTTTTTGTTTGTTTGTTCTGCATACTTTAAGAGCATTTGCAATAAATCCATATTAGCATAAAGTGATTTTAATATCGGGCAATAAAGTGCTTAAACTTCAGGAAAAATAAACACTTTGGGATTCTTATTGAATGAAAAAGAGATCTGCCCAGGACAGATTTTTTTTTTTTCCAAATTAGCAGATTCTTCTTTTTTTCTTTTCTTCTTCTTTCTTTAGAAGATTACTTAAATGAAATTCAATGACTTGTGGAACATACTATCAAAACACTTATTTTTCTTGATTATCAGTTCCCTCAATACATTGATTTGCCCCATTATGTGGGGTCTTTTAGTTCTGCCACTAATGAGATGTGCTACTTGCAACTTTTTCCTCTCTGTTTTAGGAATAGAATAAGCTATTTAAAGAGAAATATTTAAGTGAATTGTCAAAAGCTTGTAACCACACTAAAACATGGTGGTTTAGTTACGGACTATATTTTTGGAAGAAATATTTGATATTGTGGTGGAATATCTAGTTGTAAAAGATTTTATGTGAAGAATGATAAAGCATTGCGGTGGTTAAGCAGTCTCAACCCCAACAATTGTGATTATTTATGTTGTAGGCTCCTCTTCATGAGTGATTCTGACTTTGACAAGGATATTTCCCTCCTCACTGAAACTTCAGTTGCAAGATTTTCTTCTGGAGTCCCAGTCAGGAAAAGGAAAAAAAGTCAGTAATTTAAGCCCACTCTTCATATATATGTACAGAACTCCAGTTATTAAAGGACACTGAATTGCAGAACTCAGGTTGCATAAACAGGCAAAAATCAGTATGTCTTCAAAACCACAAGACAATCAGTTGATTTTTTTCCTTTTACATCAATATTAACAGTATTGTAACTATTGGAACAGTGGCATGCCCAAACTCAAGATAATCTTCTTAAAAATGCTCAGTTACTTGCAATTTTTCTTTCACTTGCCTGATTCAACAGTAGTGGAAACAAGGCAAATTTTATCACAGCAGAAGACTACATTATGGTACATTCAGAGCTAAATTTAGCCCTCCGAGATCAAGAATGATCTTCGAGCCAGGGCCAAATTGTTCCCTTTAACTGCACTGTGCAAAAGATGTCCTAAATGATGAAGACCCTGCTCTGTCCTTGAATAAGCACAGAAGACAGAGACCTCGGTGGGAGGAGTGTGAGCTGCTGTTCTGGTCAGATTTGAGTCCTAAGTGACCTCCTGCTTTTGCATGTGGTCTACTGCTTAGGCACATCAAGGTTGGAAAGGATACAATTTAACTGTAACCTAATTTTTTTTTTTTTGTCTCCTGATAGTTTACTAAACTATCAATGATGCAGTTTTTGTGGCTTAATTAATTCTTTCATACTGTCTCCGTCCATCTCAGTCACATATATTTGAATATATCCTCTTATTAACATTTTACAGCATGTTTTTTTCAGCTGTGGGTAGAACCACAATGTTAATGAATGACAATTATCTTTCTTACTTAGCTGAGATCTTTAATGAAGCTCCATTAAAATTGACATGATATTACTGGAAGAGTCGTACAAAACCCTTTTTTCATTTATAAAATTTTTTTCCTATTAAATAGAAATCTTAACTTAGTGTAGTTTTCTGGGTAAAAATTCACCAGGAATCCTTTTCTGAATAGCTTCATGAAACTGGGACCTGCAGGGGATGCACTACTGTGTCCTTTAGAGGGTTCTACTGTACCTAGCACTTAGTTAATCCCCTCGTCAAACACACTCAAGAAAATGAAAGCTGCATGTCACATTGTCAGTGTGAGGAATTGGCTAAAGGCTTTGCATTCCATTCTGGGTCTCAGAGAAGACAATATGTACTGGGGTAAAGCAGTTTTGTCTGGAGCCACTGTAAGTGTACACACGCTCTCATTTGTAGCATCGTCACCAACCGTCCAAAATTGCAGTCTGATGTGTTATAAAAGCTCAGCATCGAGGGGCATTGCATCACAGGGGCTGCACGTTAAAACTCCTTTATATAGGCAGATTTTTAAAGTGTTTTTAAAAATGCTCTTTGAACCAAGGCAGAGTAACGAAAAAGATAGGAGCACATTGTTCGTGCAATTGCAGGTTAAACTTCCACCGTGTTTTAAACGTGTTTCTAGATTAATATTTTGAGAATAAGAATCAAGTCATTGTCATTTTATTTTGACACAGAGAATGATTTATCCTGTTTCAATACCACATATTTCCAGGAGAGAATGAAGCCCTTTTTTTCAAGTAAATCTAAATTGCAACAGCAAGTGTTGTACTGTCATTTTAATGACAGCAGTAGACTTTAAGTATGGAATGAATCAATTATTGCAAGCACAGCCCCTGTGTAAATCACTGATGGCAAACCAACCTCAGGATTATAAAATGAATCTTTGACAAGTATTCAAGGTTTCAGCATATTCTCTATAATGAGGATTAAGTACCTACTATCTGTGAAAGAAAAGTTTTATTCACTTACTAAAGGATATGTGAGTAATCATTAAGAGAGGTCAGATTAACTGAGGTATTTTTTAAAAAAGGGCATCCAGTACAACATCTGCTGGAAAATCAATGATAAATATGTCAATTTTTTTTTAGAAAAAGGGAAAGATTAAACGTAAGGCAGTGTAATGGAATGACTTAATGCTCTGTTTTTAAAGAATGGAGAGGAATTATAATGACATCATAAACTATCATTATGAAACTTTTTGACATTTTCATGTCAAGAAAAAGACTCTTCTTGAATCAAGAACAAATAGTGATTTCTGCTATCCGTGGGCAATTCAGTCAAGTTCAAATAAATCCTGATTCTACACTGAGAGATGATGATAAAAAAGCCTCTGGACTACTCTGGTATACATTACATATTCTCATATTTAACATTTTCACACCAAGAGAGAAATCGAATTCAAAGTTATAATAGTAGTTGAGCTGTGAAAATGGAAATATTTTTATTTGATTATGTGTCAATAATGCATACACTTTTTGAGAAGCCTTTGTAGTAAATATTTCATATCACTTTTCTGTCTATGCCAGTACCCAAACATTATTGCATTGCTTTTTCTTTTTAATTTCCACAAAATAATGCAAAATTGAGAACCAGTGTTATCATAATTGTAGACCAACATAATTTCATGATAGAATAAAGCATTCTGTTCTGTCATAATTTATATTTTAATTATTAATGAGAGCCTTTGCTTTAACTGTCAGAATTTTTTATTAATGTCTTATGATATTTGCATACTCTTTGCTTTTATATAGGGGGAGGATATAGAGGGCAATATACATTTATTTCCAATGTATTTATATGGTTTTTCCCTGGAAGGTTTGCTTTTGAAAGCTTTAACAATTGACCACACACTGATCTAGAGATACTTTATATACACTGGGATGAGGGAATAAAAAAAAATCCACAATAATTCTACACTTTACAATTTGATGTTCCCTTAAAATAACTGAAAGCAACTTTAAATTGAAACAAATCTCTGCTACTTGTAACAAAATAATGTGCCTGTTTACTCATACTGCTGCAATTCTTTTATGTTCTTCTAGCCAAAATTATATTTCTGTTTTTTGTATTTGTGCTTGTGTATATTTCTTCTTGTTTATGGCAAAATCTACTGTCTCTTTGGCCCAATATGAATGATTCACAGTTCAGTATTTTCATTCTGTACTAAATGGTCAATTCATTACAAATTAATTCAATATTTCTAAATTTTATAAACCAGTGCTTGCTTTGTTAAAATAATAAATTCTGCAATAGGAATGAGAATGTTTATAACTCTAATAGCAAAAACATAATTGCATAATTTTGCAACAACTGAATTTTGGAATTAATCAAATATAAGTAGGTACATTTGCAAAGTGTAAAATTTAGATAAAATATGTGTGATAAAGATAAAATATGATATATATGATGTGATATCTGTGATTTAGATAAAATATGATGAAACAGTTACAGCTCAGATTACAGAAAAAACAAGAGAATAAGCTTTTCTCTTAAGAATATTTCTGCAAATAGGAGTGGCTGTAATTATTTTGCTGTTTGTCTAAGACACTTAAATGCAAATTATTTTGAGCTATTGATTATGAACATTTTGCTGCTGCTCTCAACCAAATGTTTTAACATTATTTTTGTGAATTTCAGCGGTGCTTTTTCTAACTGCCCAGCTTTTATTATGATTTTGAAGAAATTCAAGTCACTGGCTTGTCAGCGGAGCCAGTAGTCTACAAAGAGGCCGTTTCTCAGTAACCTCCTACAATTTGTTTGCAAATGATCTTAAAGAGTTACAGTACACTCTTAGAAATAAGCACGAATCGTGGTGCACTTTTGCAGAAATCAAAACTGGAGGGATTCAGGAAAATGCAAGTGCATAAAACATTTCTTTCCATTGTGCAGTCAAAGGGCTGAGGTTTTGCAGTAGAAGTCTGGCATCTGGTGGTCCCAGGAAGCAATGGCATCCTGCTCCAGAAGGAAACAAGGTGGTCACAGCCTGAATTAGATCATCAGCTTGTAATAAACTAATTGTTTCCAGCGTATGCTTATGTGAGGACTCCCGATTCTGAAGGACCCCTCAGTATTCATTGCGACTGGCTGGGTTTTGTTTTCACCCCAGAGTGTCTGCATTTCTTCACAGAGAGGGAAATAATTGCATGTATCCAGAATTGTGATGAGCTCTGAAATGCCAAATAATGCCCCGTGCAACCTTCAGGAGAACACAGGGGAGGAGACTTACTGCCATTTCCCACCAGCAGAGCTTGGAGGACTGAAAAATCATTAGGAGGCCAAGACACAAGAAGGCCATTCCAGGAAAGGAGGATTTCTTCTATTCTCAGATGAACCATAACAATATGTTGCCACACAACCAAATTTATGAAAAACCATTCCTTCCCATGTTCCTCTCAGAGCACTGACCCAGCAGAGGTTGCGGAGGTCTGGGTGGGGAAGTGGTGCAGAAGTAGGGACCTTCAGAAATCTAAAGTCCACCATCTTTTCAGGTGGTGATATAATACAATCCCTGTCAACAATAAAAAAAATTAATTTTTTCCCTTTTTTTGACCAAGAGACCCTTCCCAACTCAGGTTACTTTAAAGAGTTATTAGTTATTGTCTAAGTGATCAAGCTGTCTTTGACTTAAATAGTGTTTAACCTTTCCCTTATTCATTTTCCATAATGCACATTTATGGACAATGACAAAAAGCTGCTTAATGCACATTTATGGACAATGACAAAAAGCTGCTTAATCTCCTCTCTCCAGACAGTCCCCATTCTCATTATCACCTTGCTACCTCTTCCTTGAGCTTGTCTATTTTTTAAAGTAAAACATCTCTCTGGAAGAAGGATGGCCAAAATTACATAGTGATTCACATGAGATGTGCCTTGAGCTAACACTAATGGCATGGATTCTCCATCTTTATGGAAAACACAGCTCTGGATGTAGTCTTGCATTCTTCATGGCTACAATCTGAACAGGTTTACAGCTCTGCATGACCAAATTGCATCCCTAGGTCTTCCTCATCTTCCCAGAGAAGTTTCATGAATAATCTTCCTTCAGCCTCCTCTTCAATATTACCTGATGTCATCACTCTTCACCTGTCTTACAACTTCCCTCAAAAATGAAGTCTTTCTCAAGTTATTATTTTTACTAATCTGTCAGACTTCTGATTGCTTTTTCTGATTGCTTTGAAGTTCAGAGGGCTTATATCTCCAGTATTTCCTGTGTCTTGAAACCAAACACAGGTATCAGTTCTCTCTTTACATTTTTAAAGAATTATTCTTCCCTTAAAAATTTGGGATAAAAACCTAGACAAAAAGGAAAAGGACCAAATTTCCTTTCAAATCTATTGCTGCCTTTTAGGTGCATTATCCATTCTTTATCTCCCTCCTATCACACAAAAAACAGATACAGTCCAATACTTGATACCGTGTTTTTAACCCAGATGCAAAATATTGCCCTCTTATTTATTATTTCAGGACTTTGGGGTTGTATTTTTCAGTATATACATTTTAAGCCTTTCCAAGGTGTAACTGAGCCTGACTTTTGACAATGCTTATATTATCATTACAGTTTTGGACTTGTAAGCCAGGGGTTATTTTGCTGATCTCTTTTCATATCTTGTACTTTGCGTGTTTTGTCTGGTGCCTTTTCAAGGTTATTATTTATCCAGTTGGAAAGTTTCTTCCCTTGAGCTGCAAAAAAGTTCTAGGTAACACTAGGAACCTTGACATAATGACATGCCAGATCTCTTCCATATCCAAGTCCCTCAGCTTCCCTGCAGACCTGCTTTTTTTTTTCTTTTCCTTTTTATTTTCCTAAATAAAATGGAAGGACATTTAGGGATGCCTCAGCCCAGGATATTTATTAAACACACATTTCTAGTACAACCTGTTTTTTAAAAAGAATAATTTAAAAGAAAGCAAAACAACACAAGTAGTTAGGCATTTGCATGCTGAATTTTTCCTGTACTTCATACAGTGTCCCAAGCAGCTTCTCAGGGAAGGATCATAATCATTTATGTATGTCAAGTACATAGAACTTTGAGTACAATAAAAATGAGTAACATTGAAGTGCTGCTCTTTCACCAAGCATAAAGAATGGGGTGACCTCTGCAACACTTCAAGGGTCTTACAGATCTGTGCCGTGCTTGTACAATAAAGGAGAGAAAAAAAAAAAGGCTTTTTGTTATTTTTAAATGATAATTTCCAGAGGGTGCAGGGTTCCAGAGGATAAAGGAACAGGCAAATGATTATATCCCTTTCAGCAAAGGGGCAGTTTGGGCTTTTTCATTGCACAGCAACCTGGAACAGTACTGAGCTGATGAGACTGTCTGATACACCAAGAACAAAGGAAAACTCTGCAGGCAGCAACTTTGACTTCCAGGTAGCCCGTAGAGTGATTAGGCTTCAGCAGTCTTGCTTTCTACAGAGCAACCCTCACCACTCCTGCTGCTGGAATATTTCCATTTTCTGTGTCCAGCCCTACTCCTTTCTTTTCTTCCATGCCTTGTTTTTCAGATAGGGCTCTCCCCAGAATAAGACCCCCTCTTTTTCTCTCTCACATCTTTCCCTTCCCCAGATGTGTTTTCATACCCAGAACCCTAGGGAGAACACATTGCTTCTCATGGACAAGAGATTTTAGTGCTATTCCAGTTCCTTCCCTGGCCTGTAGAACTTCCCCTACAAGCACATGAAGGGCTAAGGAACAGGAGAGGCCAGAGAAGAGAGCTAGAGGATATATTTGTGTGGTGGAAAGGATGCATCATTCACAAAAGTGGCTGAGATTTGCAGCTCTGCCAGTGCAGGACTGTCCCCTCATAAGTACAGGAATGGCCACTCCTCTAGTGTGCAGATAGGTGCAGACACGGCTACCTGGGGCACCTCCCTCTCCTTGTGTACTCTCCCTGTTCTCCTTCAAAATGTAACATTGAGAAACTCAGGAGATCCTATTGCAGAGAAGTACCCCAATGTAGGCTGTAATATAAAAGTAGAGAACAGGACATAGGTCTCTGACAGACATTTACCTGTCCCTTCTACCATTAAGCATTTCCTGCAGTAGAAAGAGGACACAAAATCTTCAAAACCATGCTAGTTTATAAAAATACTTCTGTTGCATACCAAAACAACCTAAGACATTTTCAACAATTCTTTTTGCAGATGGCTTCTGATGCAGTCTTATGCTCGATGCAGAGACCAGCTTGAATTCTCAAGGCATTGTGCAAGCCACAAAGGCTCGGGATCAAGTCTCATCTCTCACTGTATTTGCTGAGGAAGCCTGCCATTGTCAGTCTTGTCAACTTTCATGGTCTCTTTGCTTTTTACCCTGTGCTTGCCCCATCTCTTCTTTCATTAAAAAATGCGAAAGTTTCTGTCCTTGTGGATTTGCAAAGGGAAAATAGAATCCCCAAGGGCTTAGAAACCAGGCAGCAAATTAATGCTGCCAGCACTGATTATCCTTGGAGATCCTGTTATTTTAAAGGCAGTCTCCTGACTTTCAGGGCCTGGTTTGTGGCTTCTGAACTGTAAAGTTCAGCCATCCTTGCACTTGGCAAGCATCTGGAAGTGAAATGTGTGCAACCAAGCTATATATATAATTCTGTAAAATGAGAGCTGTTTATCTCAGTAGCTGAAATATTCATTATTGAAAATAAGCATTTCAACATTCAGAGGGTGGATCATGTGGGCTGAGAATAACAATGCTCTGCAAAATACCTGCATGTCTCTACAGTATCCTAAATGGATGTAGCTGAGAGGGTCTGACCTTGCACAGGGCAGGTGGGATGAGAGCCCCTACTGACACACAGGCACCTGTCCTTACTTCTGGCTTAATCTTTTCATTTTAGCTTGGCTGCTCTTCCTGGTGGCTAAGATCACTCAGAAAGACAGGAAGAAAATAACGGTGAGTTTGCTGAGACAAGGAAGGAAGATGATGAAAGGGGTGAAACTGGAAAACACCAATCATTGAAATTTTTCTTATTTGGTAGACAATGTAGGCTGTGTGCTGAGAAAATTTCTTCTGCTCCTCCTTTTAAAGAAACATCTGCCATTTGGCCAAGTTTCAGGTTTGAGAATTCACACCACTTCAACGTGACCACTAAATCTCCTCAGATTTTTCCTTTGTTTCACTTTCTTTGCACACAGAAATGCTGCAGGTTACAGACAGCATCCTCAAAGGGCAGTGGTGCCAACTCCCCTCAGTCTAGGCCTGGAAAATGGAACTGAGCCTTCCTGAAAATGGCAATAACCAGAGCAGGAGACGGTCACTACAGCTGAGAATTCCTTTCTTTGCTGACTTTGCTTCCTGGCACCAGTTCAGCAGATTAAAAGGAGCCTTCAATCTGTATTGTTGAATAAACAAAAATTCGGCAAATGGACACAGACTGGGACAAGGAAGAAGTGGGAATTTTCCAGTTTAGGTTAGTTGTGTTTTTTTTCAGGATAGAAGGTAAAGTAAGGACAACTGGGACAAACCATGATGGAAAAGCAGATGTTCATAGGGAAGGCTAGGGTAAAGAATAGTATGTAGTAGCTGTTTGCCTCTGGCAGTGGCATTGGGTTAGTTCAAGCTGGCATGGTAAAAGGAGTCTGTTCTCTTTAAAATGCCAGCCTCCAAGGCAAAGCCATGCTGAGCTTTTTTGCCAGCTTCAGCAATAACAGTTTGATGTGCAATTTCCACATTGATATGATTAATTGTTAAATCAAATAAGGAGCCGTGTGATGGAAAAGTCATTTAACTGATTTGCCAAAATGAATAAAGTATGGTCTAGTCTTGTTTACAATCAAAATGGGAAGGCATTTACTAATAAACCCAGAGGCCTCCAAAAAGCGGAATAAAAAATAGTTTCATAGCAAATATCTCTGAGTGCCACCTTGGAAAAGTGCTTCTGCCTCTGCTTCTACATCAACAGTTCTAATAGGACTGAGCAAGGTCCTTAGAGCCATTTCCTTAGCCATGGATGGTATATGGGAATCACTGACCCATCGCAGCTGGAGCTGCAATCCACAGGGATGAGGAGGGATGTGGCACTTAATACTGTGCACACCAAACAAACCAGGGCCTAACTATCAGAAACTTCTATATTAATTCCCTGTGTGCCTTCTTTTCCTTTCCACTAAACAGGGATGTAAAAACTTCACTCCAAAGCAAATGCAAAGATACACTAATCCGGGTTTGTAAAGTCAAACTGAATTTGTGTGTTCTCACAGCATGAGACCATATTCTGAAAACTGAGGATAAAAGGAATGTTAAACATCTGGTTTTTAGGTGAACATCATGCAGCCCATGCAGTGAAAAGACAAAATTCTTGTAGAAAACACAGTTCATGATCATGTGATTTAAGATATTATCGAATGTGAAAGGCCTTACCAAGCTCTGTCTTGCAACATGGACCCTATGAAAGTTCTTCTTACAGGTGTGTTTGGCTTGAAGTGTCTGAGCATCCTGAAGACAAATGGGGAAAGAAAAGTACATAGAAGATTTACACCTTCTGTCAGGAAATACCAGCACACGTCATATAAATCGCAAACTTTGGTCTTCAACCCTGACATTTGACTCTGCCTTGTAGTATCCAACAACAAGAGTATTTCCCAAATGAATCTGGAAGAAGTGCTTATGGTTGTCACAAACACTTGGACAACCAAAGAAGTGGGTCTGCCTGTATAATTTTGCATGCTTATGGCATTGGTAGCTTTTCTGTTGAAAACCTGTGACTTAAAGCATGTCAGACTAGCAAAGGAGACTGAAAAAACAGAATAGCTAAAAGAAGTAATTTTAAAAGCTAATAAGAAATAAATTCTAGTTGATGTTAAGATAATCAATAACAGTGTAGTGGGATCTCATCTGTGCCATCTCTTTCAGAAAATTAAGAGTTCCCTTGGATCATGTGTCTCCTATCCACATACAAATGAAGGGCAGTCTGACATAAGTTATTAGATGTGATTAGATCACATCCTAAGATGATATAGCACCAGTAAATATTTTCTAGCCTGGCATTAAAAGCTGAATGTTTTTCGTAATGAGTCCATCCTTTTTAATTCTGTCACTTAAAAAATGTTTTTAAACATTTAATCAATCCCATATACAATATTAACAAGTGCTGAGGCAGAAAGGGAACCTACTGATCACAGGTGATACATCTAGAAGCAATGCACTGTTTACAGTGAGTTGTCTCTCAACTGAATAATGACTTAGTCATTTAGAGGGAAAATCCTTGCAAATAAAAGTCTCACACTGAGATACTTTTTCTGATGGAATCCCATTGCTGAGATGGAGTTTTGTGAAGCACTTCACACAAATTTTATTGAAACTACTGTACAGTGCTTTATGTGAAGGATATGGAAGCATATAAAGTATTGTGCAGTAAATTTTGTAATGAAGGGCCACAAATGGCTTGTTAAGGATCCCTGTGTGGATGTCGAGTTTAACAGCAAGTATTGCTAGACTAATGTATTTTTTAAGCAGTTTTTGGTCAAACAAAATCTTGTCAAGAACAAGGTTCCTGAGATAAATTACTTCATTTATCATTCTAAGAATAGTATCTTAGAATAATATCTTGGCTGAATATGTGATTTGTCTTCTCTCAGAAGTTTTATCACCTAGTTGTAAGCTGACCAGTTCAGCAACTTGAATTTTCACAAAGCATCACTCAAAAAATGGTGAACATAAGCTAAGCAAATAATTTGCAATGAATAATTTACCCTTTTTCTGCAACTGTTGAGCAGATGCTCAGATTTATTCATTATTTAGATTTACTTTGTGGATCAACTGGAAAATTATCAGATTAGGAAGACTTGGAATTTATTCATTGAAAACTTTAGGTCAGTTAAGTCCACTCAGAGAAGCTCTATGGTTTTGATGCTTGGGCTTGATTGACAATAAAATGTTAATTTTAAAAAACATTATTAGATGGATAACTGCAAATGCATCTCTGAAGTGCCTTTTCATCAAAGCAGCCCATAAGCTTTCTTACTTTAAAATTTTTAAGGAGCAAACATTGAGGAAAAGATCTGATGTATGCAATTATCTAAATCTGTGGAACTTTAAGACACATGGGCTGGACCAAGAAATTAATTTCTAGAATTCAAGTGAAAAGCTCTCTGCAAAAATTTTTTTGCAGCTCCACTAAGCATGCCCTATGCATTACTATTAACTTCAACAACTCTGGAAGTTACTAAAAATCATGTGCTACTGAGAGTGATGTGGAAGAAGCAAGTCCAACAAGATTTAAGATGATGTTGTGCATTCCTTCACAAACGTTGAATTCAGTGCTTGTGGATGATGTTTGAATAATTTTCCAAACAATCAGAGACTCCTTTAACAAAAAATTACATCAGAAGCAGTATCAACGCAATTTTTGTCTGCTCCAAAGTGTCAGGAGCTACTGTGCCTCAAGACTGTTTTTTCTGCTGCAGCTGCCAGCTCCAGATGATGATTTTTGTCTCTATTAATTTTGATTAACTGAACCACAGCTATTGACTCAATTCACAGAGACAATCAAAAAGCCTCATGACAGAATTCATTTGCCACTGCTAATCTTCCTACATATAAGACAGTGGTAGAGTAACCCGTAAAAAAGTTTAAGGGGTCTCATATTAACCCTTGATCCTAGTCCTTTGCTCTCTTTAGCCAGCTGGAGCTAAACTTTAAAAAAGGTAATTTTAAGCAGTATTTACCATGATTGTTTTCCATTGAAGACACAATTTGTGGAAGGAAAACAGCATAAGTGCATATAAAGGAGTCTCAGTCTAGTATTGCACACAGTCTTGTGCTGAGCACATTTATGTGTGAGCACACACAGACAAGAGTACCCACACTGTACTTTTAACTGCTAAGCAGCAAAAAACCTTTGCAGAGCGATCATGTACTGCTCCTCTGCTCCAGTTTGACAATGAAAACAGCTCAGAGCTGTCAGGATTCTACATCAGTCACCCCATCATGGTCATTGCATGGGAAGAGGATTTAAGAGAACTGATCTGCCCTGTCACTCTGGGGCAATGGATAAACATGCTGGGATTTTTTTAAAGCCCTCCTTTGGTCCACAGGGCATCAATCAACACAGGTGACAAACTTCCTGACAGAGCAGACAACTGCTAGCAGATGAGTGGTATAGGTTGTTTTGTTGGTGAACTTCCATACTGTGGCAAAAAAAAGGACAAGCATGAAACCAAAGCCTCAGACTTTGCAGCACTGAGAAAATCAAAGACCTTGGAAATTCACACCTTGAAACTGTTGTGAAGCTGACATAAACTGGAACAGAGAGATAAAGTAATATAAGATTATTCTTTGATAGGAAAACAACAGTGTTCATTCAGCAAGAACAAAATACTCTGGCACACAAAGTGCAAAATCTCTGTTGGTGTTATCAGGAGGCAAAGTCAGAGATTACAGGTAGACCACAAGTGAAATTGCTGTAATTGTCCTTGGGGATCTCCAGCAAGTCTCTCAAGGCTCTGCACCTTTGAGGTCATATCTCTATCTGAATGTAGAGGTGCCTTATTTTGTCTTTTACATCAGTGAATATGATTAAACTCCTGCTGTTGTGCTAAATTTCAAAGATTGTAAAAAGTCATGGGAATTAAAAAGGTCACTGCAGTATTTCATTTCAATAGCAAATCTGTGGAATAATGTTGTACAAGTACATAGGAAAGCGCTTTGAAAAGAGAACTTGTCGGTGACTTAGTTCTAGTGAAAAATAGCAGGCATTTGGAAAATTGAATTCTGCTTCCAAAACTTAGAAATGGGCAGATAATCAGAAATGGGCAGAATAGAGTCCTTTCAAACATCAAAGCACAGGAAAGATGCACAATTCCCAAATATTTGCACAACATGTACATTTTATATCCACACATTTACAAATGGCAAATTCTACTTCCATGCAGTATAAGCTGATGATGTATCCTTTGTCTAGAAAGATATATTCCATGCATAGACACAGAAGACAAGACAACAGAGCAGGTAAATGTTTTAAACCCTTTTGTAAAAAAATCTGAACTTTAAATAAAGCTCTTCTCATTCCTTGTGTGTACATATGTTTTTGAATAATCTCATATTTGCTTTCTTTCATTTTTGTCAGACACATTCCTCCTTATGAATCCATGGATCAGCATAATTTCTGCTGTTTTACAAACTGGCTAATCCCAGTAGAGATGAAGCTCTGCAAATAATAGAATTTTCCTTCAGGAGCAGAAAAAAATGCAATTCCAGCAGTGAATATAAAAACTGTGGACTTGTCTGAGGCCTGCATGATAGAAGTCATAGCTGCACACTGTACAGAAACATGATGGCATATGAAATGTTTCAGACATATTTAAAGTTCGTGGAAACGTAGCACCTTGAAGCACCTGACTAACCTGGAACCAAAGAGGGCAAGACTCTAGGGTAAGTTTAAACGAAAAACTTTTGCCTGCCTACTGTCCTTCTGGGCTTTTTATTTAGTCTTTTTCAGAATGGCTGCATCACCAGGAGAATTTTGCTGTTAACTTTCAAATACACACAGTGTGTTAAAAGGTTTAGGGTTTTATTTTTGTTGGTTGGTTTGTTTTGAAAGGCTCACAGATCAGCTCACTTGAATGACAGAAGTATACCCCTTACAAAAAGGCCATCATCTTCTGAGATTTAAATCACTGGTGCCAAATTATAAGAATGTTAAATTCTTCTGGACATATATCCAGAATTTTTAGCAAGGACAGAACATTTTTTTTCTTTCACGAGTCTCTGCTAAAATTTACCAAGTGCATAAATGAAAAGAGAAGGTTGACTAAAAAACTTTTTAGGCAATCTCAAGAACAAAAGGTGCCTATGTGGAAGACATAGCAAAATTAAAAGCTGTTTACTATTTTTGAAAGTTGGTATTTCTTGATGTCTAAGAACTCATTTATATTTTTTTACAGGACAGAAAATTATTTCAGGCTCTTCCAGCAATCTGGAAATAAATAAATATTGTCCTAAAAAAGGACAATAGAGAAAACTAAGAGGAATGCTTAGCAGGCTACTTTTGTTGAATAGCCATCAAGCACAGAAAAAATGCAACCTTGTTATCATTTCTGCACATCACCTATATGCTTTGATGACAATGGACACAGAAGTGATGTTATCAGACCTTGAGGAATAAATTAATGCTATGGGATACACACTGATGCAAAACAAAAGGGAAAGTAAATTAATCTTCTCACACTGTGAGAGGTGAAGCAGAATCCTTAAAATAAGAAGAGATCCAAGCCCCTAGTATTTTTATTTTTTTATTCCCCAACTTAACCTGAATGCTTTTCAGGTTACAACATCACTGTCACCTTCTCCACTAGGCTGGCTCAGAGTATGAGTGTATGAGGGGATATATGCAACACAGAGCCTCCTTTCACCAGTGAGGAAATACTGTCATTTGAAAACTGAATTTTCCTCTCGCTCTTTACCTGTCCAGCACGGAGACCCAAGAGCTACTTTGCGTGGTAGCACTAACATGTTTCGATAACTATTTTTGTGGCGCTCTCCCGCGTGTGTGAGAAGGTGTCCTTGAGAGCACTGGTGAGTTTTGGCCGGGCAGTGCACACAGATGCACAGGGACAGGTGTGCCTGTGCTCTGGCCATGCTGCCCCGTGGCTGGAGGCCAGCCAGCTCTCCTCAGGGCTCCGAGCAGTGGCCGTACTGTCACGCTGAGCCCCGGCAGCTCGCCGTGCCTCCGGCAGCCTGTGCTCTTGGGACAGGTTATCCAAAAGCCTCAAAGTGATCACAGAGGTTCATGTGCTGCGTTTTACAGACCCTAAAGCCCAGCAAAGTGCAGGTTTGTTTTTTTCCCTGCCATGCTAAGTCAAGCTACACCATCCAAACTACATTTCCATGAGCCGGGACCCTGCAGCAAGTGGCAGCGATCTCAAGGCAATGCAAAATGCAGCCAGAGACTGTCTTGGCAGGCAGGCAGCTTTTCTCTTGCTGAATTCTGTCATATAAAACTATACCCAGAAGAGTCACTCAACTTCTCCTATGGAAACTGGTTGAGAAAGTTGGGGGTGTTCAGGCTGGAGAAGGGAAGGCTCCTGGGAGAACTTATAGCATCTTCAAGTACCTAAAGGGGTTTAGAAGGAAGCTGGAGAGGGACATTGAGAAGGGCATGTATAATAGAAAAAGGGGGAATGGCTTTAAACTGAAAGAGAGTAGGATTAGATTAGATATTAAAAAGAAATACTTTGTTGTGAGGGGATTGGAACAGGGGTTGCCCAGAGAAACCATGGATGCCCCATCCCTGGAAGTGTTTAGGGCCAGGTCGGATGGAGCTTGGAGGAGCCTGGTCTAGTGGAAGGTATCCCTGCCTGTGGCATTAAAATACTGAATTTTAAAATACTCTGTTTTTGGGTTGTTTTCCAGTCAAGACACAGCCATTTATGCATAATTTTTTATACAATTTTCATGCCATAATGAGGCTCCTGGATAAGTTCATGGAAGGGGCTCCACTGAGCCTTTTGAAATACTAAATAAACCTAGTGAGATCCAGCATCAAATCCTTATAATTACAATAAAAAGCACGTTAAGTTCAGGTCTGTGAAAGCTATTGAGAAAATAAAGGAAAAAAAAATCAATGCTGAGATCTTGCTTTTATGCATTTTACTGGTAATTGGGTCATTAAAAGTAGTAGCAGAAGAACTAAGAATTGCACATGATCATTCTGCGCAGACAGCAGTATCCAAGACTGGAAGTAGCGTCTTCACCTTGAACTTAGTGAAGACTGTTGAAAGGCTCAAGTATTTTGTTGGATGAATGCAAAGTTAAAAACTGATGTAAGAAGGCAAATTTTCAAAGGATTGAGAAAATCCAACAATTAAAATTGAGTTTATTAAATCAACCTTTGCATTTCTGAATTCCAGTTCACTTCCTGCACATATTCTTCAAATTCACCCTACAATGTACAATTTTTTTAAGATGTTTCTAGCATAAAAGTCAAAGAAAATTTGTGGAAAGCCTAGGAAAGGAAATAAACACAGGCAAAGGAAACTATACCCAATATTCAAATCGATTATTTGGCAATTTTCCACTTTCAAAAAACTAACTTATGAGGACTTCAGTATTTCTTATTTCCCTATCCATATCTCAAACTATCTTGAGAGAAAAGATAATGATCTCTATTTACTGAATATATACTGCAGAGGACATTGAAGGAATGATATCTCTTCGGCCTGGAATCTTTTCTCAAGCCATCCACAGATAAGATTATTTAAATCCTTGTTACAGAATAATTTCAAAGCAATATTAAGACCTTTCTATTGCTGTGATTTGTTCTATGCAATTCCTCACTGGACAACTCTGCTGTCAACTTTCATAGTTTTCCTTAAATAAGGAAATTCACCATTGTCCAGAAAGGCCACAAAGTCTACACTTCTCTCTCTGTAGCAGCTGCAAAGCCTGGAGTAGGCTGTACAAGATGAATTTTAGCAGTATTAAACTGAGACCTAGAGCACATTAATTTTCCAATAATCCCTGCAGAGCATGAGTGTGTATGTTTCCCAGAGGGTCACTAATCTGAGGAGCAGATAAGCATCTTGCCCAAGGCCAAGAAGAAAACCAGTGGCAGAAATGGGGAAAGCACCTGGAGAATTTTGTTTCACAGGCCCTTATTTTAACACCCAGGCCACCCTCCACCTTCTTAGTTCAACACTGGTGAAAGAACTGCTCAGATCTAATTTGAGATAGGGTAAGACTATAAGAGCATGACCACATTAAGAACCTCTATTTTCTTTGTTATACTGCATTTTCAGGGACATGCTACTTCTCCAGTGGTTTACATTTTAAAGAGGAACTGGCATAAAACTAAGCCTTTTAAATTGGTTGAAACAGTTGCTGTTCCCTGGGTGTTAACAACAAATATTTTCTGGTCAAAGAAGCCGCATACATTTTAGCTGCATGAAAATGGAAAAATCTTGCTCCCACACTGATTGACTGAACATCTTGCTAATCATTACAGTGTGTATCATTAATTCATTATTCAGCTGTGATATGTTTTCCCTGTGAACAGCTTAAAATATATAGTGAGTGAATACTTACTGAGTACAAAGTAGTTTCAGATTATAATATTTTATTGTGGTAAAGAAAGCTCTAAACCTCTTATGAGCTCTTATGATTTGACACATAAGATGTGGCAAAAAGTTGAGGCACAACAGGCACCATTATAAATATTTATAGACATACCTAAAGTCTTATATAAAGTTCATCCTGTTAAAGGACATGTTTTATGTTGTACAATTCCTCTTAGAATATCAATCTAATAAGCACCAAATGAGGCTGAAGACAATGCTGTTATAAAAAATGGAGAAAAATGATTAAAATGTGATAATTATACTGACAGTTTATATGCTCAATCTAATCAACCAAGCTTCCAATTTGTCATAATGTACACTCACTCATACATTATTGCTTAATTATAGCAACACTTCTATTTCGAAAGGCTGTCAATCACGCAAATGCCTATCATTTTTCTCTATTTGCATTTAACAGATATATTTTTAGTTCAGTTCCAAAGCCCTCTGAAAACCTGATTTAACCCCAGCTCTTTCTTTTGTTTGCAATGCTCATCCCTGTTTATTCACTGTTTGCTGTCTGTGGTAGCTTGTGCTGTGTGATTTGCTGCTTTACAGCTCATCTGCTGCCAAAGGGATTTTTGAATCTCATTTCTGTTCCTGAACCATGGTCTTGGTGATCTGTGTGTTCTTAGGAGCTGCGGACCTGAGCTCGAACTATTCAGGTTTGATGTGAATAAAAGTATCAGACAATCTTGTCTGCTGTTCTGGATTTGTCTTATTAGTCCTGCAGGGATGGGAAGAGGGAAGAGAACCTTCCCTTTCTTCCATGGGGTAGCCCTGCCAAAATCAGTAGGACTGGTACTGGGCTATAAGTTGTGAAAAGAGTGTGAATGAACATCCTTTATGTAAGCATCTTAACATTTTTATTCTCTTGCACATTCCACTCTGAATTGTTCTTACTTCATTTCTTTTGGCTATTTTAATATCATATCTTTGAGAACCTCTGGTCCCTTCTGTCCCCTGTCTTCTCCAGCTTTGTTGTAGTGCCTAAGTGGAAGAAAAATTTGGCATTTTATGAAAGCTCAGAGCAACACAGCAAGCGAAATGCTGGACAGGACCCATCAGCAGTGGTCAGTGGTAACACAGGGAAAACTTAAGGAAGTTGTCAGGAATTGTTCAAATACATTGGGAGCACTAAGGCAGCAGAAGAAGCTGTGCAGTGCCACCAGCAGGCCTTCTTCTGGCAGTAAACAAGAGGAGGTGCTCTAACATGAAATATACAGCCCCGGAACTGAGAATTAAACCCCCTCTTTTCCAACCTTATTGATTCTGAAATTCTGTGAAATTACACTCCAGCAGGAATCACTCCCTTGCATGCTGTATTATTCTGCTTAACTTTCTTTTGCTTTTATACATTCTATCCCACTATATTCTCTTCGAAAATCTAATAATTATTTACACAAATATTTCATATGCAGTACACAAACATATTCTACTTGGGCTCTAGATGGTAAATGAATATACAAACAAAAGAGCAATTCAAACTACCAGTTTGGGTGGCAAAGAAATTACAGGGAAAAGATAAAAACACGACATAATGCTATGAAAAATGTCAAGTTATTCTTTGAATGTTGGCTTAGGAAAATCTCAATACATTTCTGGTAAATGAGGCGTGAACCATATTCTTAAAAATATGGTGTCCAGGAGGTAGTACTACCCAATATTTTATCATAATGGCAAATGTAGTACTTAAAAAAGCTTGGACTTTAAATCAAACACTTTGGAGAGGACATGGACAATCTATTAGTTTTTCAAATATATGTTAGTATCAATATGAAGATGAGAGAGTAAACCATTTCTGGGAGCTTACTTGGTTAAAATCTCTTTTAAAATTGGAGTGTGCATTATTCTTTAATTAGTATATAGGCAACGTGAATGATCTTCCCATATCATCTCTACTTCTCCAAAACTTTGTATTTCTTGACTGGAGTTGTTAGTATCTTGTTGGGTTGAGATAAGCCCTAATGCTCACACTCATCAAGGATGCACTACCTTTGATTCAGTACATTAATTTGGTGACAAAACTATAGTACTTGCCATGTTTGCAGAGAGTACAGGGAAAAAAAACAACAAAAAAAAGAGAACCCCATAGCATGCCTTTGAAAGACAGAATATTTTACTATTACTAAATAAACATTGTGTTAGAATCACATTTTGTTCACATTATAATTTATTCTGAAGAAATTTATTTTCCCTTTTTGCCACTTCTTACTTTAAAAAAAAAAACCCTACAACACATTCCTCCTGGGACAAGTTGTTGCTCAAGTTTTCATCCATCTGAAGCAAAACCATATACAAGATGCTTTTTTTTTACAGATAACAATGAAAAAATATATGTATATCACACATACACCTACTTAGAGAACAGTAGTACTAACACTTATCATTCTTTAAATCCTCCACTGAAAGAGGTACAATGTAATGTAAATGAAAGAGGTCCTTTCAAATCTTGTGAAATAGCTTCAAAATTTTGCTCAGATAGCAGCAACTTAATATTACAAATTACTTTATTTATGACAGCAGGAAGTTCTCATGACAGACTGGCCATTTTACTTTTGGACCAAACTGTATTCATTTGAAAAATAAACTATTAGGTCTCCTGATTTTTACAAGATTTCTGTGCAGGTTGTGAGGCAGCAACAGTGACAAGTCTTTCCTACACAGGAAAATCGATGTGCAGATACAGTTGTATAGGTGAAATGGAGTTTCTGCAAAGATTGCCTCTGGAAAAATCTTATGTCATTTTTCTGGTCAATGTCCTTTACTTCCACTTGACAGAGCAAGCAGTTTTAGGAAGGACTCCAAATCTGGTGATTTTGCACTCGATTTCACGCTGACAGCTACAGTGTACCAACTGTTGAGGCTACTTGGGTGTCAAGCACTTCTCCTGATTCTCATGGTTTTTCTGTAAGATAGGAGAGAGGTCACTTCTGTTTGGCTTTGTCAGGTATTAAAACAAAAGCAAACAAAAATTCTTTCAGAAAAAGGGCCACAGCCTAAAACTGAAATTTAGGCTGAACTAATGTGTTTATAATTAATAATTCCATTTGAAATTACCTTGTTAAAGTGATTGGTAGGCCTGCCATTGCATCACACACATAGTTTCTCTTTTGCTCATTCTTTGCAGTCTTTCCTGAGGATTTTTATTTTGTCTAACATATGAATATATAAAGGTGTGTGAAGTGGAAGGCTGCTATTCTCCAAGCCCTCTGAATAAGGATCTGCTGCCAGTTTGCTACTGGTAGCAGGATGCAGACACACTCTTTGCCTGCCCATCAGAGGCAAGTGCCAGGGCCCTGCTCACCTCCTCCAAAAAACAGGAAAAGCTCCATTTTTCCCAACTTTGCATATCAAATGAAGTAAAGCTTTCAACTGAATTTAAGAGCTTCTTATCTGTAGAAAAATAATTTGTCCCAAGGGATGCAGGCTCAGTGTCCTGATGGAAGCCATTTTTAGACTGACAACAAAGATCTCCAACACACACCTCACATCTTTGATAGGTTGTCAAGTACCTGAGGCCCCTCTGCACTATGCTTCTGTCCCAATAACATATTCCAGCAGTGACTTCATAAAACCTTCTTCCTCAGTTGGAAACAGCCAAAGTCCTTTTCTAATATGGACAAAAAATTTCACAGGGGCTCCCTACTCTTGTTGTTCATCAGACCATCTCAACACCTCCACAGTCTTCTCACAAAATAGCTCCTGAGTTCCTTGTCCAGCCCTATTTCTGAGCAGAGTTGAAGAAAGAGCTTTTCCAATTTTTTTTTTTTTTTTTACCAGAGGCATTCAAAAAATAGGCTTTCCTTGCTGATAAAAGAATATTCTACTTAGATCACTGGACAGACTTCCTGACATCCTAGGCATGGCTAAGCTCTGCATTTTCTTATACATAGTCTTTGGGAAAAAAGCTAACACACTACTTCAAAACTAATGGAACAATGCAAGGGCCAAATCTTTCTCTTAAAAGGCCCAATATAATCTATTTCATAGGGCTATGATAAATTACTGAAATTAGATTTACTACTAATGTTTAACACAGAAACTTGCCTAGGACCTAACTCAAGGGAGTGTCATTTGCTCATGGCATCCATTAGAACTACTTTACCTCACTAAGAACAATCAGAAGTAAATTAGTCAAATCGAAGAAGCAAAATGCACAAAATGTTTGAATCAGAGAATGATATATAAAATTCCTTTTCCTCTGGAATTTTCTCCAAATGAGAACTCCGCTCTGCTGGAGTAGCCACCATGGTAAAACCCAACAAAGACCAAATGGAAAATTATCAGTGGAGAACAAAAGGAAGAGGTCCTAAGAGCACACATGCGACCTTGACTCTGCCTGTGGCTTGTGGCACGCAGCTGCTACGTGTGATTGTTGTTGAGAGAGGAAACAGAGTTGTGCACTGTCCTGGGGGAATTTGTGTGCTGTTTATACGTGGTGCTGAAAGGCAAGAGGGTGAAGCACAGCTAGTAGAGTGCCGGGGAGGATATAAAATGATTGAAGATGTGTGTCCTCATGTGTGTAATAGCCTCGGTTGGGTTGAGGCCCTGGGTGGGGGGAGGGAAAGAATTAAGGAATAGGAACGCATTCCTAATGGGTTTTTATTTTCTCCTCAGCAATCAACAGCTCTTGACTTTATATCAATTTGTCTGTCTGTTCTGTCACTCTTTTGGTTGATGGTCATTCCTTAGAAACTTCTGTGTGAGTTGATATTAATGAATAACAATGCGTTGAAAACACTGATGCTTAATACTTCATTTTCTCTGTCTTAAGAAAAAGTGGGTTTTTTGCCATTGTTACTAGGCTGACATACTTCACTAACTGCTGTTTCCTGGCCGCCCTTTCAGATTTTCCCTGTGACTGTGGTCTCCTTTGGGAATGGCCACATGAATTATTTTAAAGACCAGGTGTGAAGTTTGGTTGGTCCAGTGTCATCTGAGTACTTTCCATGCCATCAGAGCAACTTCCATGTAACTGGCATCTTTCCCAGGAGACTGTTTTTAAGTCAACAAAATTATGGAGGACACAGGTATGGCTTCTATGGCTGACAAGAAGAAATGAAAAACAGTGGAATGCTTCGGCTCATAGAGAAGGTTTGGCCAAAGGACTTTGCGATGATGGCCAAGTAGAATAAAACTTACCAATAAATAGTTGAAAAATCTACTGCAATTACTGTCCTGTGAATCCAAAAGTATTTTACTTAA